CACTAGAAAAAAATTAAACAAATAGCCATTTCTCTGCTTCTGCATGTCATGCTGTCCAGAAACGCTACAGAACCTGAGAATTCCCAGTAGGGAATGAGTTGCTCCCTATGCTACCTTTCAAGTCCTTGGTGGGAACTGATCTTGGACTGCTACTCTCCAATTCTGGGAACGAGAAGAAAAAGGTTACTCAGCCATCTGATTCCAAAGCAGTTTCCTTACCATTTGGCAAGTGCAATTGTGAAAAACAGTTCTAGAAAATAGCCTTCCTTATTAAGAATTTCATTAAGAATATTTAGCTCTGTAGCAACTACCAATTTATGGCACTGCAAGTCATTTACATTTTTGCAGACCAGTGTAAAATAAAAAATGTAGAGGAGGCATTAATTTTTTGTAGAAGTAAGTGCTTTAATCATTTAACAGCCTTGAAAAATTAGGCTATTATTATCAAGGCCAAATTTTAAAGGGATCTCAATCTATTTTCCATTTAGATCATTGCAGTTATTGGGGTTTGGAGGGGAACAGATTACCCATATATTCCCCTCTACCGCAGTAAGCCACAGACTTTGTATAAGCAATACCACAAACTAGATATGAACTGCACCATCTGTAGATGCAAATGACAGCATTAAAAAAGACATTAAAATGACTGCACATGCATAGAAGTAACATTATGAAAACTTGGGCCAAGATTTCTGTATCTCTTATAGAGGTCTGCCCCTAAAAACCTGTGAGGAAGCAGGTTCTGAACATAGTAAAATTCTTCTGTCTCATTATTAAGATTTAATACTTTTTGAGGCTGGAGAAGGTAATGTACATCATTACAGACTGGTTAGTACAGAACGTAAAAGAAATCTGTTAAATATTGAAATAACAAGGGCATTTTCCTCTGTCTACTTGTAAATTATCTTCTATTCCAGTTTATTTTCATAAGAATTTATTGTTGCATGTGCTAATACACAGAATTGAAATAAGGGGGGAAAAACAATTAAATGCATTGTAGAACATATGGAAATGTACAGATTATGTGATCCTTACTAAAAATCCAACTTAATGATGAAAGCATCATTTAGCATCCACTCTGGAATTGCACTCATTTATTTATTCATGAGAGATTATTTTCTGTAGACAAAGAAAGTATCTCCCAAAAACAGGACTGCCATATTTTCAAGGCATACTGTATATTTTATTTTGGTAACTAGTAAATGTCAAACAATATTCATACACAGTATTGACATATTAATGTTTTCATTCAACAGTGAAGATACCTTTCCTTGTTACATTACATATTTATAGCATATAGAGCTGTCAAATAAATTATGTCAAGGCAGCTAAACTCAGACCTTCTGACACTTGAATCACAGAATCAGGGCAAATAACCTTTAAAATGAAAGACATATGATGAGAATTAGGAACATTTAATTTGCATAAATATAATGTTAGCAGTCTTTCTCTTATTACATATTTTATGCCCAATTTATAATTGTCACTATGTTCATTTCTTAACATCAGTTTGCACTCTATTTTTTCCATCATTGCTTGCTTTGTTTTGGAACGTGTGAAACACAAATTCTGTAAGAAGCATATGATGAGATCCCTGTTTTAGCATACTCTGATTAGATTAAAATTTGCAGAAAAATATTCATTCACATAACGAGTGAATCCTAAAGTTTAGGATCGCTTCCTAGAATTAGCTAAAAATTCCTAAAAATGTCAAGCAAGTAGCTCTCAAAATATTGGCCATCTCTTGAAAACAATCATATCTTAATGTTTTCTTATGAAGTGCGGATATACAGAAATGTACAATATTGAAGCATGGATTTTCATAAGTTACATGATTCATATGCTTTGGATTTAAGAGTGCAAAATCTGAGCATCTAAGTGTACCCATGTAGGAACCAAAAATAATGGTTTCATTTACAGAATTGCTTAATAGTCAGAGCCCCTGGTGACTTCCTTAATTAAAACCTTTCCAAACAGTTTTTTTAGTAACTAACTGAGACACTTCCCTGAGCCTTTACTGTGAAGTGTGGAGTGTTTCTCACACCTTAAGGAATCAATAGAAATGGGGGGAGCTCAGCACTTTGCAGGACTGCGCCCTTCGTGCTGACACTGCACTGTCTTATGTATCCAAAGACAACTAATAAAAATGTGCATTATTCTGAAAGGTGCCTCAGGATATTCAGGTAAATAAGTCTGTAAGGTACAAAGACAAACCTCTGCCTTAAGAAGGCACAATAACTAAATCCCCTTACTCTTAGTGTCTCAAATTCACCTCTGCGTGGATAGGGGAACTGGAGTTTGCCCCACCATGAGAGGGAGTTCAGTAGCACACAGACTTCATGCAGTGTCCTTCCTACACGTTGAGTTTGGCTTACTTTGCCCTGGTGACTCAGAAGAATAATTTTGGGGAAGCTAATTGGAGGTTTTATGACAAGCTCCTATATAATTACATTCTAATACATCCTGATCGGCCAGAGGGAAACCAACTGACAGTCTATAAAGAGTAGCATGGATAAACTGGTTGGAACTGATACTGTGCTCCACAACTTAGTCTAAAAGGCTTAGGATGTTTCCTTACAGCTTCATGAAGAAGAATCAGGCTGTTGTTTGTCAGTTTGCTGTATAAGTGAAGCAAGCACATTATCATGAGACATTTGCAATGAGCAACTCAGAAAAAGTGCCCAGCACCTCACGGCCACAACCAGAACAATCAGTGATTTATTTCCTGGTGGTCAGTCACTAGCGTTTGAAATCTGATGGCACGTCATCCTGGTCGCTTGAAGACAGGCAACATGCAGTTATGAGTTTTTGTAAACGTCAATAACTCAGAGGGATGGTGATGAAAAAAAAGGAAACTGCATCAACTGAAGTAATTTGCCTTCTTAGGTCATCAGTAAAAAAAGAAAAACCCTTCTTCATCTACTAATCACTATTCTGTAAAGCAGTGCTGGTCTGACAAAGCTATATAAAGTGTTTTGTACCTAGCAGTAGAACAGGTATTTCAAAAACAATTGAGGAGGCAGCTGTCTTTATGGGTTCCTTGAACATTCTGTTCTGCTCAGAAATAAGTATCACATCCACTGTGGGGCCACTTGCCGAAAAGAAAAGCTAATTAACAATTTATGTCCTCAGAAATAAAAGGAAATTTAGGCTAATAATGTAAGGTAAAATACATTACAGGAATATTACAAGTATCCCAAAGCTCAGTGTTGGAATGTTAAAAAATTCAGTCGTAATCAAATATTTTAAGGTAAGAAATGCATTTCGTCCTTGATTCTGCCCTGAGAGACCACCAAACAATAATGATAGCATGAAGAAATTTTATATGTGTAGTCTTACCTCGATGAAACATATTTTTAAATGACACTGTGCCACAAGCAGGTCTTTGACCTAACAGGAAATAAATGTCTGTCTTAAAACAGCCATCTAGCTGTGGTGAAGTTATTCCTATTGAAATTAGTGGAAAATGGAAAACGATTTTGATTAGCACTGACAAACTTTTAATTTGATGCAGAGGTGCAGAGGATTGCAACAAGAGCTAATATTACACAGATTCTTAAAAGCTTTTGTTAATGGAACACCACAAGATCATTCAGAACAAAGGTTTCATAATAAATGTTATGTTTGTTAAAGACTTTATTTTTAACAATTTCATTAAGCAACTTATCTGCAAACTTTCATAAAATATGTTTAGCCATCAAAGAGTAAATACTGAAGTTAGTAGAGAAGATAGCATTTATTCATTTATTAAGTTTGTATTTAAGTAGAGATCTCCATTCATCTGTAACATACAATTGATGCTCTACAATTAAAGTACAACGTAAATAGTATCTATAGTGTTAATAAATTACTAGGACTATTTGAGGAAATTATTAACCAAATATCATAGCCTGTTTTTGAGTCCAAGAACATAATGAATCATTTGCAACTAGCTAAAGCATCTGATATGTACGTATGTATAACAATGTATGATGCTTATTCCTCTTGCGTATGATATTAATATGATAGCATAATCCAGCATTGTTGATAGCAGTCCACAATTACAAAGCAAATACTCAAACTGTGAATTCTGCCACCTCATTTATGCGCTCTCATACGGTACTAAACACGGAAATTTGAGCTGAAACGTGACATGTACCTTACGGGTCTCTCCCCTGTCATCTCTCAGCTGCCACAGTTGAAGATTTCAGGATCAACCATATCACAACTCACATTAAAAGTGTGGACTACTTTATGCTAGAAACAATTAAAAGTTTTGGAAAAACATTGCCAGTTTTTTCCTCTTCCAACTCAGCTAAGAATACCTGTTGCTTTGGAAATGTAGCAAACCATAATAACAATTCATGACAACTACTAGAGAGGGAGACAATCTAGAGCACCTTGCCAACATACATCTGCCTGCTCTGAATATGCCGAGCTGCCACTGACTTTGGCAGCCATTAAAAAGCATATGATAACTAAGCACAAAAGATGCAAGAATATGTTAGCTGTGATGCGATGTGGTTACTGCAAATGACTGTCTTGAACAGAAGTATAGGTAAAAATATTAGAAACAGAGTGTGCATTGGTATATGGCTTCCTGCATATACAAAGTCAATTATAACACAGTTTTTCAAGATTTATAATCTCTTATTATTCCATGCACAAAACTATAGATGCATATTACAACTAATGTTACAATAGAAAAGATCTAAAAGTATATATCTTACTTGTAAACATGATCATACCACATATCTGGTTGTAATAATTTGTATTTAAATGTGCATAAAAATATTATAAAAACCACTATAGTACAATTATATGAATATCATCTGAGTGACAGCATCCAAAAGAATTTTTTTCTGAATTGCAGATCTATCATTACTGAGAGTAGTAAATATGTATGGTATACAAAATATCATCTACAAGACATCCTGAAGAGAAAAGAAGCCAAATAAAAAATGTGGTGTAGTTCACTCCAAACATGAATAGATCAGAAAGCCACATGCAATGAGTCGACATCACACTTCACTTTGTTCACTGAATTTGCTGTAATTCTGAAGTGGAAGAAACAGAAAAAATATATATAATCTAAATATATATAGACTATAACCTCAGACAAAAACAGCAGATGAAGCAGTGCTAATTTAAAAATGTCACCATCATAAAGACTAATAAAACAAAGGTTATTTATAATAAGGATGAACTGCATAAAGCAACAGATGAGTCTCTCATCAACATAAAAACAAGGATAATATGATATTATCCTTGGAAGTTTTAGATAAGAGCACCTTTGCATTTCCAAATGACAGCTAGAGATAACATGTAACTAAGTCCTCTTGCCTCTACCTTTCTGCCAGTGAAAGACTATTTCCTGCAGTGGAATCTGAAATGTAAATTGGAACAAATCACTTTCCATAAATCTCCACTTCCTTCCATTCTATTATGTTCTATTCTAACCTTACCATGTTTTGCTCATATAAGCACTTACAACTCCTACTGACCTCAGCCTCATCAAAAGGCCTACAAATAGTGCACGCACAGAACAGTGTTAGCTACAGTGTGATGTTGCTGTTGTGGTCACCCAGCCTTTTTATTCTTATCCATCATCTCTCATCCTCAGGTATTAACAGCAAGGAACAGAGCAAGAAACTAAACCAAATACTTTGAAGGCTCAAAAGAGAAGTCAGCAGCATATATACACTGTTCATAATTACATTCATAATTTGAGATTGCATGCAAGCCTTTCAGGAGCAAGCCACTGCTCAGAGTTTTGATTTGCTCAGCAGCTCTGGTAGAAATATAATATCAGTTCTTGGAAAAGTGGATGCCTGACTTCTAGTTTTAACTCCCTCAGTGGCTTCGGACATTTCAGCTGGTCTTTCCATGCCCCGGTTCCATAAAATGGGACTACTACTACGTAACTATCTCAGAGAACGTTAGGCAGTTACATAGAGTCTATAAAGAATGCAGACATTTTATAACATAGTAATCATCCTAATTGATCTAATAAGACCCAGAAAAAATATACAATAGTTAACCCCATTATTTTTGCCCTCCAGTTACCATTTCAGCAAGGGTTTTGTTGCAGGACAAAAAAGTGAAGACTGTTGAAAAGCACTGAAGAGAACATATTTTTCTTGGTCTTCAATCTACTAGATCAACAGTGCCAATTCACTGAAATCATTTTGTCCATGGGCAACTCTAATCTAATTAGTGAAAGGTACCAGATCACAGTAACAGGGGAGTGGGGGGAACACACATAAATCATGATTAGTTTAATGTCCCATGGAGAAGGCTCTGAGCTGAGCCCTAGCCATGTTTGGAATCATAAATAAAACCATGGGAAAGCACACTACTTACAGTGCACGCTCAATTACAGTGGGATTACAATGGAAGAGGCTCAAACTGTTTATGAGGAAAGCAAAGCCTTTTAA